AAAAAGGGTATGATGTTAGATGCTATACTTTTTATTCATAATGTAACTCTTTCTATAAGCATCCAATTTTCTCTCTACCCCCTCTTCCCTTCATTGTTCTAAAAACCCTTGCCTAGCGCCGCCCCGATTAATGCCTAAACGTTTGAAAATTAAGAAATGGCTCATAGACCTACTAAGACGGCTGCCTAGACCGCCTAGGCACCCGCTCAGACCCACCTAGGCATCGACTCACTTAGGCAGAAAATAAATAACTTTCATTTTGCATTTTTTTTTCAATAAATTGTAAGAGACTTATCGAATACTTAAATGAGCACACATTATATGCTTGTTCCCATATTTTCATTATATTCTAATACTTCATAATATATGTGTCAATCTATTTTGTAGTTTATGATGAAATTATATATATTTTAAGTATAAACATATACTTATTTACATGAAATATAATAGATTTAGTTAAATCCGTCTAGTCCGTCTAGGCGCCCATCTAGACCCCACCTAGCCGACTAGGTGCTAGACCCCAGCTCGTTACCCTGACTAGCGCTTATCGTCTTTTACAACCTTGTCTTTTCCACATCTTCCAGACCCTTCTCCACACACCTGCAACCATCCCCCACCGTAGCACCCTTGAGACCAAGATGATCTCCCCAAATTTGATAGTTTATTTTCTAAATTTGGTCGAGCTCGATTCTATAATTGCAGCAAAGAATATGCAGATTTGGTGATAATAAGGTTTGGAGTGAGAGGGTTCAGCAACTCAGAATTGATGAAGCTTAAAAATTCGAGAAGGTGTGAGGGGTTCAGCGACACCAAGGGCTACGACTTTATCACCCCTTAAGACAGAAGCGAGTATTCACCAGTCATCGGTCAGATCCAATGGCTTCCACATCGATCGCTGAAGGCGAGTCCATAGCAGTAGTTTTGAATTTGGCAGTGGTTGTGGATTCGAGAGAGGAGGTGGGCTGCGGCTATGGTGGGTTGTATGAAAATTAATGACCAGTGGGTTCGGAGAGGTGGTCATGGTGTTAGTAAGGGGTAGGTGTGGTGGCTGGGGTGGTCGGGGTTGGTGGGTGGGTGGTGTTTAGCACAGAGAAATGGAGGACATTACAGAGATGGAGGACAAAGATGGCCTTTTAGTAAAAAAGGTGGGGGTATTATTGGCCTTTAGAAAATTTCATTAAAACTTCACTGTAGCTCCACATGCTTCATTTTGAAGCAGTTTTCTACGATTTTTGAAAGCAGGGTCAGAGTAGCTTCTTGATTTCTGCTTTTTATCACTGCACTTCAAGAAAAAGCTACTTATTTTCCAGTTACCAAACGCTTGAAGGATCCAAATTTTTTAAAAAGCTGCTTTTTAATTAAGCACCTGCAACGCCAAATTGGGGCTTAGTCTTGACATTCTTCAAATAACAAGTCGAGGATGATATGTGGTGATTACTCAAACCAACAATATGGTTGAAGTCTTCCATAAAGCTGGGCGTGCAAGACGATGGGCGGTTATGTTAGCTACAACGACCCTGGATAACAAAACTTTCGCATCCTCTATGATGTGACCGATAGTGGATAGGTACATATAGTGCTCTTGTATTGCTGATGTGATCTGGAGTGAGTCACCTTCAATGACAAATTTTTGGAGACCCCTTTCGGCATCCAAGGCAATGCCACTTCTAGCTGCTAACGCTTCGATTTTAAGGGGGGAGAATACGTTCACAAATTTGGTATAGTAGTCGTGATAAATTTTTCAGATGTACATAGGATAATGATTCCAACGCCGCCTCCAACCTTACTTTCCACGCTCCATCTACATTAATTTTAATCTTTCCCAGGAGGCGACTTTGATCACCTAATCTCAGTTTTGCCAAATGCTACTAGCTAAATTGGGGTAATGTTGAGGCCTGGAAACTTGTGTTGGAAATCTATAAATAAACAAGGAATTCGTTATAGGACATACCTAATTAATGAATTTCGGATCGTTGTCTCATTCCCACGAATCGTTGCACGAACCACAAACAAGAAAGTCACCAAAAGGAGAATTTTGTTACATCAAGTCCAACTAGATTGCCTACGTACCTCATGCCAATACACAAGGATCAAACTACCATAGTTCTTAGTAGCCTCCCAATCCTAGGGTCAAGGTGATACCTTAGAGGCTAAACTAAGAGAGAAAAAGGATACTAAAAGGGTAGAAAGATTGATGTCTCCCCTCTAGAGTTAAGAGAACTATTTTTCTTGGTGTGTTTTTATCATTCTCCAAAGCCTTTTTTATATAGTGGTTAAGAGGGGAGATGAAAAACGAAACGGTCAATGTGGGCAGTGCCGGACCTATAATGGTACTTGAGTGGTCCTAGGACTCCTCTGTGATCTGAAATCCTTACTTGAAATGTCCCGAGGAACCTTGGAAGTTGAAGGCTCCACCTCTGAACTTTGGCTCTGTGTTCCAGCTTTGCACTAGCATCTTCACAGAGAAGACAACTGCAAAAAAGAAGGGAATTTTATTTTTTTTAATTACTTGGCCCAAAACAACGTCGTTTTGGCCAAGTCTTCTATTTTTTGGAGCCTAAGTCCCAACCCTAGATCCCCCCACTTCCCCTTCCCCAATCCCTATTCCATGTGCGTAAACCCTAATTCCCCAAGGTCCAAACCCTGAATTCTCAATCGCAATTCCATATTTCATATCACTGTGGACGACTTAATTAGGATTTTGTAGTTTGTAATGCTGTTTTGAGTGATTTATGAATGAAATGTAATTACATTTAACTTGCTAGTATTATTTTCCTCTATAACTCCTTTACCTCTGTTATTGGGAATCCTGGAATTTAAAATCTTAGATCTGCCACTACCTTTGTAACTTGCTTTCTAATTGAATTGGAGTCGATCACGACTCGTTCCAAGTTCAATCCCAGGGGCGGACCTATGTGTGGGCAAGCCTTGGGCTGTAGCCCAAGTGAAATATTAGTCGTAGGATTGAGAAGCTCCAGTCCTTCCCCTATATCACTTTATCACGCCATGTGAAATGTGGCCACCAACTAACAATTGAAGATAATCGCAGTAATCTTGTATTTCTAACTACAATAATAGTGGTATTCATTCGTGTGCATTTAAGACTTATTACGTCCCCCTGATCACGTGTATATTTCTTGTTATTAATGAAGGCCTTTCGTATTGTCAAGTTTTATAATAACACATCATTTTAACGTTGTTATTAGCACTCTAAAAACTCATCATGCACTTCTCACAAGTATATTCTAGTCGCATATGTGGAAATAATATCAGGAGGCAATTTGACAGGCTGTAGGTTACGAATACAACCCAATGGGGAAAAAAATTCCTAGCTTCGTCCTTGGTGCTTTGTGAATCGTTCTACTTGTGATTGCGAGCACTTTTGGTGATACGCAACAATGTGGACGGCAGTATTGAACAATATTGCCAACATATAGACGATATATCCAACACATCGATAATTATAACAACCCATATAAACAATCTATTGGTGTTATAGACAAAATTATGAATACACTCACATTATCGACATCGTATCAATACTCTTATCTATGAAATCTACACCATATCAATAGTGTATCTATTTGGGATGTTTTAGACATTTCACCCTTTCAATACCATTTCATTCGTATTCATGTAGTTCATGTCAATATTTCTATTTGGGCGAGTAGTGTTTGTAACCTTTCTATAACAGCTAATTTCTCAAATATTTTGCCATCCCTTTGACTTGAAGAAACTATTGGATTTGGACAAAAGTAAAATACCACATTGATGGCTTCCTTTGCCTCAAAAGTTTTAAGATATCCCATATTGGAAGGAAATATTGATAATTACTTGATAATTTAGTGTGACAGCACTTAAATTAAATTCAAGCAAACTCTATACATCTTGGATTTCTGGAAAATTACATGTAATTCACAAACTTCTTGCATCACAGAACGAAGAGATCAAATAAAATCTATATATACACAACGTAATCTCCTGGCGTTCAAGTACCTGAATTTCCAATGACAATTTGTTTGTTGCATCAAAGAAACAAACTTTGGTGTTCGCAGTCGCTTGCCCTCCAAATACACAGGAAACTACCGAGTCTGCAATACAATCAGATCCCCTGATTAGATTTCTTGAGTCACATATCTGATATCCCTATTTATTGCAAGAAGCATTCAATGACACTGTATTTAAAAGTATGATGAATTTATGAAATTGGACTTTTGACACTTCAATCCCTTGTAGACAAATTCATCAAAGACAATGCTGCCCAACATATGTGTTTTAAAAAAACCATCTTTTCCAAATGTTCTTGGTTTGAATGCAAATCAAAAAACATATGATGCATTAGTTAGCAACAACATATGACTAGTACCAGATTAAACCGCCGCACAACACAGATTATACTCAAATCCTTACTTACATCTGATTTTTATTCTCTCTTATACCCAACCATTCATGTTTCTAGCACAAAAGTTATCCGACATCAATTTTTGGACTTGCAGAAGCAGAAATTAAAAAAAAAAAAAAAAACTAAAGAAGGGTATAAAAACAAAAGGTAAAATAATTTTTTTACCATTTAGAAGCTCAATTGTGGGCTTCAATGGTGTTGTAAAATTTAGAAAAGCGACGAGTCGGGGGTTTGGGCTGGACCGGCTTTTTTCGCAACCCGAAAATCTCTTGAACCAGAGGAACGTGAACCAAAACCAGCTTCCACGCCAGCCACCAACCTGAAAATTCGATCATGTACAAGAGTTGTCACCGATCCAAATTCTCAATTCACATTCAATTACCATCAAAATTCCCGAACAAGTTGAAATTAAAAATTGGGAAATCCAGAGGAGCAATAATTACCGACTGAGATAAATGAGAAGACGACTATGATGGCAAAAAGAGGACGGAGGAGGAGGAGGCTGAGGTAGTCCCAGTAGGAAAGAGACATATCCGAAGAAGACAATACTCCTTTGATGAGCTCAACAAGTTTCCAATGCCTTTTGGTTTTGGTTTTGTGTACTGGGTTTTGACTTTAGGTTAAACGAGCAAAAGTGTCCGTGCTCCGCTGTGGGTGTTAAATTCGTAGTTTACAGCAATTACGAACCATTTCCAAAAAAGAAGAGACAGTTCTGATAACAGCACATAATAATGAATTGATACTCAAAAGCTAGCAGCGGCTTAACTGCATTCACAAACACATATATCACTATACACAATACTATGTATTTTACTTCTAAAAATCCCATAAAACCACAAATCAATACATTCATCTAAATATTTAAAAAATTAACAGACCAACTAAACCAACATGGTAAAATAAGTCTTTCAAGTTAAATTTAAATTCGATGTACTTTATATCAAGAGCATATGTGCAATCCAAAGGGGAGATTTCTAAGTTACAGTTATATACATTTCCAAAAGTTTCCCACATTGATTAGTCCGTTCAGTTTGCACCTGCATTTTACTGACTCTACGTTAAGAGTTCTATGTACAACCAAAAAAGCAGATATCAACGACTAAAAGGACGGACTTTCATACAAACAAAATATGCAGAGAGAGAATAGCAACACAAATAATCTTCACAGAACACAGCAAATACAGTTAATGTTCACAGAAGACTGCAAATTAACATGTTCCATCTGGAAAGGATCACCATAGTCTTCTTCCTGCCATTATGTTCACTAACTCATACCGTGTACTAAAGTACAAACATGACTAATCGCATAAGATATGACCTGAAGATATAATAATATTCATATGAAAAGCAACCAGGATCCGATCACAGCAATATGCCAAACAAAATATCATTCAAGACCACAGCAATATGCCAAACTACGGCCCATCTCATCTCGTCGTTCCAAAATTTGTGAAAAAAAAATCAATACCAATTCAAATTCAAATGCCAAAATTATCAATTAATGGTTTAAAAGATTATAATTTTTTTTTTTTAACTTAATCAATTAGTTTAGTTTCAATGACCTCCTCAACATTTTGGACAGGTAAGAACTTTGCCCAGAGAGCCAATATCTGTCTACAAAAGCTCTACTGGGCAAACTCCCAAAATAATATGAAAATTACCCAAAATCCTAGCAATCGATATAAATTTGAAATCAAAAGAAATTGGGGGAAATTAATAGATAATCCAATTTACTTGAGGAGATGAAGAGGGCAATTTTCGCTTACCTTCAGTCAAGAGGAATTTGTAAAACGTGGTGGTGGATGAAGTGGTGGTGGCGGCGGCTGTGTGGGTTTTGGATGAGCAACAGCGATCTGGGTTTTGGGTTTAGAACGATGTGGAAGAATATGGGTGGTGAAATTGATTTGGATGGGCAGGTTGTCGTGTGGATTCCAACTGCAGCAACAAGGAAACGTCGGAGGAGGAGGAAGAGGAAAGCTGCGATCAAAAAAATATATGGAATTTCGGTTTTGGGCTGATGAGATCACGGTTGCAAGCCCAATTTAATCAAACAAGATATTTTATTGGGTTGGCTTGAGTTGGTTAGCTTTCTTATCGTTTTTGGTCCACTTTGCTTGGTAGAAAGGCCCAACCCAATTTTCACAAGTCGACTTCAAATTCAACTTCTAACTTGTTGACAAACTGATAACGTGAGGGGAAAATTACAAAATTAAACTTTTTATTTTATATTAAAATTTAATGGAATATTACAATTTATATAGGGAACTGTTATTATCATTCCAAAAATCTCGTTTTACATTCTTCACAAAATATATTTTTCTTTCTAATTATAAAAAGTTTGGAGTGCTAATAACAATTTTTTTTATATAACCTATCCTTGTATTCATGGTTGAAATGACCAAAAAGTTCATATCACGTTAGCTTCGCTAACACTTTTCCAAACTCACTTGACAAAATAAGTAAAATACGATACAAAATAAAAAAGTAAGATAAAACAAAATAGAATATCACTTTTCTGATTACGAAATTACGTTAATAAAGTGATAAGACTACAATAAAGTGAGATGTTATAAAAAGCACGATGAACATAGCCAAAAATAAGACGATATGTTGTTTTTTTGGTGAACACATTTTTTTAATGTATGTATTATTCATAAAAGTTGTAGCAACTTTCACATGCTATCCGGATGTCATCATAATGTTAACTCGTGTTGAAGGCACGAAAACCATCGCTTTCTCTAATCTTTGCGGTTATACGACGCTCCCACTTTATCACCTCCGACAGTTGGACGGTTCTGATCACCCCACAATAAAGAATACCTCCATCCACCCTTCAATTTTTCTACATTTTCAAGATCACTAAAATCTTCTCGCGTCACAGCATCACAACTGGCAAGTGTGGGCCCCACTAGCGTGGCAGACGCGGCAAAGCCCGCCAAATCTCTTCTACCGAATCTGGGCGTCATCCCGTCCTGGTGGACCAAACGTCCACAAGTCCCTGTCCCACTACTTGTTTTCGCTTTTCATTACCGAAACCAAACCCAACGCTACCGTCTACTCCCGGTCGCCGGTTAACCCCGAACCTGTCCAGGTTCATCCCCCCGTCATCTCTCACCCTCCATTTCCAATATATACGCAAATGGCCAATTCTCTCGTATCTCTCTCTCTTCTCACCGGAACTGGCTACCAATCTCCGGCGACTTTTAGGGTTTGTGCATGGAAAACTCTGCCTCTTCACCGGAGACTGCCGCACGATCGTCATTCTTCCCCTGTTGTCGCTGCTACTGTTGTTGCTTGTGCAACAAAACAACCATATTCTCTTTCGAGACCCTCGACATTTTGGTTTTTAAATTTTAGCCCCTGGTTTTTCAAAATTTGACAAATTTGGGTGCTGATGGTTTACACGGAGGCTCAGCCTGGTTTATTTCTCGGGTTTAACTCCCATCACAATACGACGTCGTCGAATTCAGTCCAATCCGTCCCGCTCCAGCTGCTCGATCAGAACGAAGAGAAAATTAGGGCCGAGAACGGGGACGATGGCGACGGAGACGAGAAATTTAACCTCTTGGGGCACTCGATTTGCCCGAAGAGGCCGAGGGACGGGTCCGGGTTCGGAGCGAACCCGGCCAAATGTTTGGCGGTTGAGTCCGGTGGGCTCGAGGCGAGGCGAGCGGCGGTCCGGTCTTGGGGGAACCAACCACTAGCGGTTTCGGATCCGAGATCCATGAAATTATGGAGAAGGAGAGGCATCGCCAGTACAAAGGCATTGAATTGATAGCTTCCGAGAATTTCGTTTGCAGGGCTGTGATGGAAGCTCTGGGCAGCCACTTGACGAACAAGTACTCCGAGGGTTTTCCCGGAGCAAGATACTACACGGGCAATCAGCACATTGATCAGATTGAATTGCTTTGTTGTGAACGGGCATTGGCGGCTTTCGGTCTCGATTCGGATAAATGGGGTGTCAATGTCCAGCCTTACTCGTGTACCTCTGCAAATTTCGCAGTCTACACTGGGCTTTTGCTCCCGAATGATCGGATTATGGGGTTGGATTCTCCTTCTGGAGGGCACATGAGTCATGGGTATTATACCCCTAGTGGGAAGAAGGTCTCGGCTGCCTCGATTTTCTTTGAGAGCCTGCCTTATAAGGTGAACCCACAAACAGGGTACATTGATTATGATAAGATTGAGGAGAAGGCGGTTGATTATCGCCCCAAGATACTTATTTGCGGTGGGAGTTCATACCCTCGGGAGTGGGATTATGCCAGGTTTAGGCAGATTGCAGATAAATGCGGAGCTGTGTTGATGTGTGACATGGCTCATATCAGCGGTCTTACGGCAGCTAAGGTTTGAAATTTGACATCCCAACTTTTGTTTTAATTTGTTTAGCTGCTGAATTTGTTACCTATTCTGTTAATGATCGATGCTGTTATTGTTGCTTGAGAGCTAGTTCGCAAGTTGTAGGCTGTTTGTTGTAGGAGAGAGCGATTGTTTCGCAGTTCATTTACTACTTGGCAATAGAGGAAACCATACATAGTATTAATATTAAAAAATAGCCTGAACGTGTGTTCAACTAGGAGTAACAGTAATTACACCATTCTTTCATTTTTATCGACGAAACAAAAAAAGGGAAAACAATTAACTGAGCCATGAAGATATCATATCATGTCCTATTTGGCCGCTACTAAATGCTATTTGAACTGTTTCATCAATAAGAATTCTGTTGAACGGTTTATTCATAAATGATATCAGATGCAAATGCATTAACTTAAGTGTATAGACTTGTTGGGTGTCTAGAATTGGATTGGATTGGATAGGATAACCCACTATATTCAAGGAAAGTTCAAGGAGGAAATGAAATAATAGTGTCTAACTTAAAAGGTAGGAAACGGATTACACATTAAGGAAACTTATCCATTCCTATCTTCCCAAAGTGTTAGGATTGTAGGGACAAGTTTCCTTTATGTCTAATCCCCTCAAATTGAAGAATCATTCACCTCTACCATCAATGTACCTTGACTTTTATTGGTTACCCAATCAATTCCAATAAGCTAATGCAAATTGGTTTTAGATTTGCCATGTTCCATTAAAGTGTTCTTTGGGATTATTTTCTTGTACACTAAATAATTGCTGGTTTTTGTTACGAGTGATAGATTTCTGTTTCTAAGTATAAATCTTGTAAGCTGTAATGTGAGAGGGTACTCATCGTAAGATTAGACTTGAGTGCGAAAAAGTTTTTCCACTCCCTTCACAATTTTATAACATGATGGAGACTTTGGAAAAATCAAGTACCCTAGATCTAACCGATATATACGGGGTTCCTTTTTTCCAAAGTCGTATCTACCATGCCCTTAGTTCCAGCGTCTCATTTGTATACTCTTCTGCTTTCTTCATCTTGTTGTTTCTTGTGTATGTGAAGTCTTCTTCATTCCAGTGTGAGATTATCTTGTGTTATTAAATATTCACATTTCATGAGTGTGCTAGCTGATATTTTGACATATTGTGATACTGCTAATCTCTTCGGAGGGATGAAAGATCTTTTTTCATTTTTTTAAGCCTTCAATCATTGATTTGTAGTACATATATTAGGCCACGCAAAGACGTCCTTTTGTATGCATTATCTTTTTCGTGCTTAAGAATCATCAAATAACATTATTTGGCAATCTGGAACTTGGTGTAATTTTGTATATTTGACTTGTCTTTTCTTCCATGAGCATGTACACAAGTTGTAACATGTAAGGTGTTCAATTCCCACACAGACCCAAAAAATTAAAGTGCATTATTCATGTTTATTTCAGAAGCTCCCTTTTCCACGTGAAAGATAATGAGCTGACATTCTAGCTATATATTAATCTATTGCACTCATAACTGTTAAAAGAAACATGCCAAATGTGTTCTTAGTTCTTACTTATTTGCGATTCTTTACTGCAGGAATGTGCAAGTCCGTTTGATTATTGTGATATTGTCACGTCAACAACTCACAAAAGTCTTCGGGGTCCGAGGGGAGGCATTATTTTTTACAGGAAAGGCCCAAAATTAAGGAAGCAAGGCATGCATCATACTAATGCGGATGGTAGTAACCATTATGATTTTGAGGAAAAGATAAACTTTGCTGTTTTCCCATCACTACAAGGAGGGCCACACAACAACCATATTGCTGCTCTTGCCATAGCCTTAAAACAAGTAGCTACTCCAGAATATAAAGCATACATGCAACAGGTGAAGAAGAATGCACAGGCCTTGGCTAATGCCTTGTTAAGAAGAAAATGCAAATTGGTAACTGGGGGCACCGACAATCACTTGTTGCTTTGGGATCTGACCGCTCTTGGTTTAACAGGTAGTATAATATTTACCATCCTAATTTTCACAGATCTGATTGTAAAATTATATGTACATGAACATTTAGAGTAACTGTACTGTTTACCTGTTGAGTTTCACGATGATTTTAGACCCATGTCTAATCAATTTGTAATTTGGCCAACATTTAAGTTTATAGCCCAATTCATTTGGCAATAGAAATACATGATAGCTTTTATACGTCAACAGAAGCTGATTAACTTTAATGTCAACGGAAACGTCTTTTCGTTAGTAGTGATATTTTGGTTATTTGCAATGTTAAAAAAGAAAGAAAACACCAAGTGACCAGAGCTGCCAGGTTGGGTTCTGGTGGTCAAGGTTGCTAAACGATTAGGCGAAGTTACAATTTGTCAATCACTGCTTTAAACAATTGTGCCCTGAGACCCTTGACAATATTAATTTTTGAAGTTTTTGAGGGGGACGGTCTTCCCCTGATTTGCTGTACAAATCTGATGTTCATAAGTGATAGCTTCAGAAGGAGCAAAGGTGTACTCCCAAGTGTGTTATAGTTGGAGGTCTTATGTTTTCAGTAGTTGAATAAGCATCATTCATACGAGCATGTATCTGTGTTCCAATTTTACAGGCAAAAGCATACATCTGCACATAACCAAGTTTGGAATTGTTTCGCTATATCCGCTTCCCTCGTTTGCTTTCTTTTTGTTTCCTTAGACTTACCGTAATATGGAATTTCAATTTCTAATTCAGCACTTCCGTATCTAATCCCTTTCCTGTTCACATTCTTATTGATACAGGGAGGAATTATGAAAAGGTTTGTGAGATGTGCCACATTACTCTCAATAAAACTGCTATATTCGGTGATAATGGTGCTTTTTCTCCCGGGGGAGTGAGAATCGGTAAGTTGTCTTTGGCATTTGAACTTGATCTTCAATATTCTGAAAGCTGCAAACTAGGGTACTTTCTGCTTCAATTCATTCACACGGTACAACCTCGATAATTTAATACCCAATAGATTATTTATAGAGGTTTAACTGTACGCGGATATAACTATTAAATTTCACTAGTCCAAATCTCCTTTCATTTTTTCTTTCTTTTCTGATTCTTTTTAAAATTTCATGGTGGAATAATTCCGCGACGCGGCTTTGCTCAACGGTTTTCTTTTTCAAAGTACATTCGCTCTCAGGTCATTGTATTATAACGGAAACTAAGCTTGCCTTTCTTTGTTGGTCTTTGCAGGTACTCCTGCTATGACTACCAGAGGTTGTGTGGAATCCGATTTCGAAACGATCGCAGATTTTCTTCTGAGGGCTGCCCAGATCAGTGTTTGTATACAGAGGGAATATGGAAAATTGCAGAAAGATTTTATCAAAGGTCTCCACAACAACAAAGATATTGTCGAGCTCAGAAATCGGGTCGAAACATTTGCATCCCAGTTTGAAATGCCAGGATATGACTGACATTTAAACAATCTTCATTTCTTATTTCTTTGCCTCCATTAATCTCCTGTAAATTAGAGGAGGAGAAGGATACGATATTGACATTCCCGCCCTCTTCTTTCTGACTTTGTATAAATTATAGAAAATAAATGATTAACATTCTACTTCTTTTGAACAAACGATAGTAATAATTTGGTTCAAATTCGTTTTTGGCGAAAATCGAACATAAAACTTCTTATTTACAAATAAAGAAGAATACTACTGGACTGTATTACTAAGGGTTATATTCTACTTCTTTTGGTCAAGGTGTAATTAACCAAATTTATTGGGCTTGGTTGCTGTCTCTGTCCTCCTTTCCCTCTCTAACCTATGATGTTGTGGATCTGGATTGTAGATAAAGCCGTAATTATTGAAACTGCATTCAATAGAGTTGTACCTGGTACTTTTGCCCATCTGTCATCCAGATAGGCTTCCTTTGGGTGGTTGTCAATTTCACTTTTAGAACCTGCTTTTCTTGTGTTAACCGTTCGTACATTCATCTAGTTGGCAATTCTTCTGGAGATGACAAAGAAGGAATGAAATGTATGACGTTTTGGTATAATAATTTATTGTTATGTGTAGGTTTTTTCACGTAGCAATGTATTTTGGAATAGAAAGCAATGGTGACGACGAATCTGTTTTATGTGAATTGCTCTGCTAAAAAGAACTTTTCAATCCAACTTGGAATGACTAGTGGTGTTCGAGACCAATATAGGACTTTCTATCATTGGTTCAAGACGCTATCCATCCTTTAGGGTCCGTTTGTTTCTCGGTTTAAAGTCTTGAGAAAGGAAGTGTGCAAAACGCAAGAAATGAAGTCTTCAATTCTCATCCCCGAATAGCCTTATTCCGAGAACCAAACGGAGCCTTAGCAATTGCAGCAGTTGATGGAACAAAAAACTCAAGTGCATTCACTCTTGAATGCAGCAGAGGCAGCCAGAGACTGCATTTGTCGGAACTTATTGAACATTTCTGCAGATTTTATATGATACCTCCTCTGTCAAAGAAGCTCAAAAACCTGTCACGCTGCACTTTTCTTTTTCCTTTTTTCCTTATTTTATTTTATTTTTTTAAAAAGGAATCATAATAATTGATTGATGGTGTGGTTTTTTTATGGATGAGGATGCATCCGGATCTAAATGGTGAGGATACTAGAAATCTTCACATCATAATCGTTCATCGTATATCATACGATCAGAAATTATTTGAATTTTATTATTTAAAATTAAATATAAATAGTACATGACGAAAACTGATCGCATGATATATAATTAATGGTTAGAATATGAGGATGCCTAGGATCCCCACTATTTGGATCCGGATGGGATCCTCATGCTTTTTTTTTTATGGCGGTGGTTATGAATTTTAAGCCGTTGTTTGCTGCTTTAAGGACGATACTGTTTTGTTGGGTCAGAGAAACTCAGAGAGCTGCCGCTTCTGCTTTCTGCTGCTGCTGCGTCTGCCAAAAGTGCTTCTTTAAGCTGGTTTTTTTCTTTTTTTATTTTTCCTGATATTACGATTTTTAATTTATTAAAATAATAAGTATTCTTTTAGTCCTTTGATTTGAAATATTATATTAGTTGTTTGTTGACTAGGACAAAGTCAAGAAAACCTCTAAAATTATTTCAATATTGGACCTTGGACAGTTTTGTTTGCGTTGGACGCTGCTATGGATCCCCTTGGAAGGAGGCAAGGCATGAATTTCCGGCAAGGGACAAAAAGCATAAGATACGGTTGACAAGCAAAGAAAGTGACCCTCAATTTTCTCCCCCTCCATATTTTAATAATATTTCCAAATCAAAAACCCCCCCCAAACAAGGGGAAGAAAGAACAAACTTATCTGCGTTACAGTAAGAGAAAATCTTACATAAGTGATGACGGGTTTATTGATATGTTTATCTCTGCTACTTTGTCTTCAGTAGTCTAGACAACTAAGTATTCTGAGTTTTTAAACAATCTTCACGGTTCTATTTTCTATAGTCAACCGTTTAATTTCTTAGAATCAATTATCACTGTTTTTCTCAGACTACTGAAGAAATATTGTTTTGCCTATCGATAAATGACTGATCAATAACTGAATTTTTTTTATGGCTATGAGGAGTAATTAAACTATTACGTGACCAATATTTTATCATAAACCTAAAGAAGGGAGAAGAAGAGAAATGCCTAAACGAGGGAAGATAGACCCGTAAGTGTGGTCGGTTTTATATAATTATATGTCTATAGCTTATTACATGATTGACGAGAAAAATAAGTCGGAAGGAACAGAGAGGGTGATGTGGGGAGAAGGTTTGATGAAGATCAAGACCATTGCTTTCAAAGGGAAGCGAAGAATCATACAAAACCTTCCTCCCAAGATGAAAAGGTGGGTTTCTTGACATAAAAGCAAAGCCAGGAATCATGACTCATTTACTATAACAACTCAATTCAGTGACTCACACACCCACACACACACTCTCTCCCCTAAAATATTAGAGAGATTCTCCATGAAAAACCCCGACTAGAGGAAAATCTTTTCAAAACAAAAATAATTATAATCAGCACTCCGGTTAGCGCATACTTAGTTGTAATCCAATTGTATTAGATCGTAATGGTCGTAACCAAATTAGTTAGAATAGTATGATATAGAGCTGAATAAATTTTTTTTTTGGTATTCTAGATGAGTTAATTAGATTAGTGTTTAAATAAAAAAAAATTATCCAAATCCAAAAGAATTATATATTAATTAGTTAGTATATTGAAATATTTTGAAAAAGTTAATAAATCAAGGGAAGAATTATTGGCGTTCCAAAAATCGCATTCCACACTCCTCACAAATGTATTTTTCTTTCCTAATATACAAAGTTTGGAGTGTAAAATGAGATTTTTTTAGTGCTAATAACAATTTCCTAAATTAATAGGGGATTTTGATTGTCCCCCCCCCCCCAAAAAAAAAACAAAAAACAACCAAAAAAAACAAAAAAGTGTAAAAATAGTATAACAAGAATCTCCCTTTCCATTCTTTTTCCTATCTTTGTTAACCCCATTTTTCTCTTTTCGTTTTTTTTAATCAACTTGTAAGATCTTGCACCTGCTTGAAAACTGGTCCTCAAATTGGATTTTCCACTAGGTCTTCTCAACCTAGAATTGCAATTTTCTTTTAATTTGAACTCTAGTATTAAGTAAATGGGCCATAACTAAGGCAAAAGACATGAGTTTTAGATGGTCTTTACAGATCTAGAAAAAGCATATGATATGGTGCCAATAGAAATTCTTTGAAGGATTCTAGAGAATAAAGGAGTACGAGTAACATATGTTCCAACAATAAAAGATATGTATGATGGAACAAGGACTACAGTAAGAACTTATGAAGGAAAAACTGAAAGTTTTCCCATAACAATAAGGTTGCACCAAGACTCAGTTTTAAGTCCTTAACTTTTTTGCATTGGTAATAGATGAGTTAACATGACTTGTTAGATCCCACATCGCCCAGGATAGATGATCCTCTATGCCTTATATGTACATGCCCACCTCTATATAGCACGAGGCCTTTTTGGGAGCTCACTGGCTTCGGGTTTCATCGGAACTCCGAAGTTAAGCGAGTTCGCGAGAGCAATCCCAAGATGGGTGCCCATTGGGAAGTTATCGTGTGAGTTCCTAGAAACAAAACCGTGAGGTTGTGGTCGGGGCCTAAAACGGACAATATCGTGCTACGGCGGAGTCGAGCTCGGGTCAGGATGTGACAATTTGGTATCAGAGCCAATCATTGGCCGCAAGTGTGCCGACGAGGACGTCGGACCCCTAAGGGGGGTGGATTGTTAGATCCCACATTGCCTAGGGGAGAGGATCCTCTATGACTTATATGTACATGCCCACCTCCATATAGCACGAGGCTTTTTGGGAGCTCATTGGCTTTGAGTTCCATTGGAACTCCGAAGTTAAGCGAGTTCGCACGAGAGCAATCCCATGATGGGTGACCTACTGGGAAGTTCTTCTGTGAGTTTCTAGAAACAAAACCATGAAGGCGTGGTCAGGGGTCAAAACGGACAATTTCGTGCTACGGTGGAGTTGAGCTCTGGATGTGGTGAAGTCCGGGTCGGGATGTGACATGACTTATTCAATATGATATCCTTTGGTGTATGCTTTTCCCAAATGATATAGTGTTGATAGATGAAATGCAGGAGAGAGTAAATGCGAAGTTAACCTTTGGTGGGAAATGTTGGAATCTAAAGGTCTTTGCCTAAGTAGGTCAAAGACAAAGTATATGGAGTGCTTGTTCAACGATAATGAGGGTCCACATGAGATAGCAGTAAGGATTGGAGATCAGTAAGTACTAAAGAATGGATGTTTTTGTTATCTTTGATCAATCTTGCAAAAGAACGGAGAATTAGATGGAGATCTCAACCATAGCATACAAGCTGAATGGATGATGTTGAAGAGTGCATCTGGTGTGTTATGCAATCGTTGTATGGCACTAAAACTCAAGGTAAAATTTATAAGACGACAATAAGACTTTCAATGTTTTATGACACAAAATGTTAAGCAGTTAAGCATCAACACTTGCACAAAATGAGTGTAGCAAAAACTAGAATGCTTCGTTGGATGTGTGGGCACACAAAAAGTACAGGATTATGAACGAGGATATCCGAGGTAAAGTAGGAGTGGCCACAATTGAAGATAAGATGAGAGAAGATCGGTTAAGGTGGTTTGTACACGGGAAATGAAAACCCACAAATACTCCGGCTAAAATGCGTTATGAAATAGAGGCTCAGTGCAAAAGAGATAGAGGACCTAGGAAGACTTGAAAAGAGATTTTAAGAAAGAGAATTGTTATTGGCACTCCAAAAATCTCGTTCTACACTCCAAACTTTCTATATTTAGAAAGAAAAATACACTTGTGAGAAGTGTAGAATGAGATTTTTGAAGTGCTAATAACACTTCTCTTAAGAAAAGATAGGAGTATTTGAGCTAATGAAATATTTGGCATAAAACCGACTGCAACGGCATTCGCCTATATATTTAATTGATCTATTTAGTGAAATAAGGCTTTATTGGTGTGGCTTAAAAATAAAAACTCTTCATGAATACAACCATGGTAACTGGTAACTACTTGTTGATGAGTCTATGCTACATCAAATCTTAGATTACACGAACGAGAATTCAAACTTGATTATAGACGAATAACTAGTTACTATTAGAACAAAAGAGAAGAAGACACTCGAGAGAAAGTGCAAAGTCTTAAAAAAAAAAAAAAAAAAAAACTTTAAAAATACAAACATAAGTAAGAGGGAGGGTTATAAAGGTACAACAAAACCCTACTAATTAACTCTCTCTACTATGTAATTTTTTTTTAGTTATTTACTTTTACCTATGACTGCAAAAGTCCAAAAGCTTCTTCCTCCCCTCAACAATTTCATCAAAGAAATCATCAAGTTGGTTCACAATATTCTCCGCACCGGATCTCAACACCCCAAAACACTCTCTCAAGTTGTCCACTCCCTCCCTAATCCCGCCGCCGCCGCCCTCCTCCTCCTGCTCCGCACCTCCCTGTGGCCCCCTCCTCTCGAGATCCCCCCTCAGCTCCTCCATCGCCGCCTTCGACCTCCTGAACTCCCACATCAGAACCCCCGGCCTCTCCCTGATCTGCCTGATCTCCGCCGCAACCCTCTGCTGCAGCCTCGCCGTCGATACCATGAACGACGATCCGAAGATCACGCACCCCTCGTTGTACCCTCCCCTGCAGAAGCTCGACTCCTCCTCCGGCCAGCAGAACACCAGTCCGTACAGCAGGATAATTAGCAGCAGCGAGCTCACGTTCCTCATTGCGTACAGGACTCCCCTGAACCCATTAAATCCATTGAGCTTCGATTCGATGGAGACCCTTTCGTCGAATTTGAGCGACAGCGGCTGGATTCTCGTCTCCATCAGCCCCCTGTTCTCTTCCTCCAATCCGAACGCCTGTCGCCGACACCCAGAAATCGCGCGCACCACCTGTATGAAATGCCACAACGAATCAGTCAAACGTATTAAGCAAGCTAAAGATTGTGAATTTGTGATCGAATTGAATAACCCACCTGGCGAGAGAGCTGGGGAGTGAGATGGCGGTGGGAGTCGAGGGTGGAGGTGATGTTGAGGCCGGAAGTGTAGTAATTCTCCATGGCGGAGACGGCGGACTTGAGGACATGGCAGGCTTCCCAAAGCTTGGAGCTTTCGTCCATGTACTCGTCGAGCCACTTGTCTCCGACGGGCAAATGGAGCTTCTGGACGAGAAGGGTCAGCTGGGAGTGGAAAGATCGAAGAAGGGAAAGAGCCCTTTGGAGGAATTGGATTGACATAAAGTTGTTGGAAAGAAAAACCCTTTCGAGATCGTCGATCCCTCGAGTCAGAAACGAGTAGAAGCCATTGACAGAGTTGGTAGATGAAGGATCCATTTTTAATCTTCCTCTCCTTTTCAATTTCTTTTCAAATTTCTTTTGTTCTGCTTGTGTTTGAAAGCTTGAAATTTTGTGTGGGATTAAAAAACAGAGGGTGGTATTTAAATGATGAGAGGAAGAAGAAGGAGGGGAGAGAGAGAGAGTGAGAGGAATGGGATTCCAAGGAGGGAATAGCTTTACAAGCAGAAGAAGAAGCTCAGGTTTCTAAGGTTGAAAACGACTGTTGGGAGCAATGATGGGTGTTTCCTATAGAGGGAAAATGATGAATGGTAATATGCCATTTTCATTGTTTAATGGGATGGGATGAAAGGATGTGTGGAAAATAATTATAAAGACATAAGATTTATAAAACAAAACAAAATAGAAGCCTCCAAAAATACCCAAAAAAGAAACTGACTATCTGTATCTGCGTGTGCGTCTTCTTAGTTCAGAGAGAGAAGCTAGAGAGAGAGAGGAGTTTTGGGTCATTGGCTAATTAGCAGAGGAGAGGTATACTTATACAAGAAACAGAAACAGAGCATGAAGTTTTCATGAGCCAGCTCCCCTCCAATTTCTTGCTTTTCTGCCTTTCATTTCTCCCACTTATTTAAAGCAGCATGCCCAATTGCCCATGATCAATTTTATACATGTAGGGTGGGGGGTGGAGAGAAAAAATGGCTAGAGAGAGAAGGCGAGAGAGAGGTGCCAATGCAAGTGGGTATGTTTACAAAATTTTAGTTGGAATTGTGTATCATTTTTATTTTTGGATTTGAGGTTCTTGGTTTGTAAAGTGTTTGACTGGATTGACCGACTTTTTTCTCTCTTGTTTCTACTTCTACCATCAGTTCTTCATCTTCTAGTTCCTTTGGTTTCAATATTATTCTTTGGGTAATATTAGGAAGACAATAATTAAATTAAATTTTATAAATCATATGACGTGGTTGTTGATAATTGAATTTTCACTTAAGTTTAAGTGTTGATTAACGTGCTTATTTTTTATTCGTGATACATGACATAATTTGTAAATTTAATCTAAAAATTGCTCTACCTAAAATTGCATGCTCTTTGGCTTCTTCTTTCCTCCTTTCCTTCCTCGAGCTACTGACTTGGCTCCTTATTTCCCCTTCTACTCTATTGAAATTCGTGGGATTTTCTATTTCCTAGATATTTTTCTTGTTTTGTTGATTTTTTCAAAAAATGGAATGATGAGGTTCCTTGTATGTTGTAATTTGTCTGGTAATTTTTTAACCTTTTTACCAATTCCAACCATGCATAAATCAGTCTTTTTAGGCCAAATTTCTCTTTTAATATGTAACTTCTACATGCTCGTTTTCTTAATCATTTGATGACCAATGATTCAAAGTTATTTACGTTGAATTTAACATCAACTGTTGAAATTAAACATTAAAAAACATCTATTTATTCTTCACTCTTAATATCAAAACGAACGATATGTGATTGTATTACTTGATTATTAGATGATCAAGAGAATATTTATATTAATATATAATTTATAGTTAGTTACTTTTTTTCCTTGGGGGACAAAATGGATGATGCTTCTTCACGAATTATGCTTTCAAGTTGAATTGAATATCAATACATGACCCAATAAATTAATCCTAGCCGTTTAATGGTACTCTTCAGGACCCATCTAACGGCGGAGAAAGCAAACCAAAGTGTGAAACGATCAACTGCATGGGTCCCAAAATTTTGATGCAGTCCACCCAATGGGATTATGCATGATTAAGTTGGCTTTAAGACAATAATATATGGGTAATATAAATATGTTTAAAGTTAAGAGGGGTTTTATGTGTGTGTATGTTTATTGCTTAACAAGAATTATGAATTAATTAATTGTTTTAGTTTAATAATTATGAAATTTTTATTTAATTATTTAAAGGGGTCTTTTGTTTCTTGATGTGGGGAAGGAGGGGGGGGGGGGGGACCAGGAAATCTAATTTATGTTGGGGTATGTGACAGTTTAGTGTTGATTTTATTTTAGTCTGGTTGGGTGCTCGTGGGTTTTTGGAAAATATGAAATGACCTTAAGAGGATGTTGGTCTTTTGAGATTTCATTGGAAACTGAAATAGAGAAGAAGCTTATTTAGGATCGGGTAATGCTAGAGAGAATAAAATTCTAAGGTCAAATTTTTTTATAGTCCCTGTGATGACACGACACTTTCAATGTAACCCTTGTGGTGAAAAAGTTGTTAATTAAACCCTCGTAGTGAGTCTTGTTAGCAATTAAGGTCCAATCCAAACTTCCGTTAGTCTTCCGTTAAATAAACTCATGTGACTATCACATGGATGGGTTAAATTCATCATTTCAATCCAAATTACATTGTATGTGGTGGACATCTAGTATGACTTTAGGGTTTAACTGAAATTAGATTTTACCAAAAAAAAAAAAAAAAAAAAAAAAAAAAACAACAACGCAGTGAAACTAAACCTATAAAACCATGTCAATGGCTAGGAGAAGAGGTGAACGTGAAGTCGCGCCTAATTTCTTAGGTATGATTTCGTTTGGAAATCCTAATACTTTTAATAAACTATTTTTTTTTTTTTAATGCCAACACGTCTTTGATCATAAGTTAGAGACTTAGTCTTATTTGAATTTTAATTCTTCTATCAATTTGTACCAGTCTACATATATGCCTTTCAATTTTGTCTTTAATTGGTAGTGTGGTTTGATGTAGGCTGTTGTCTTGCAGTACACAACCTTTCAATGCACCTTGGAGACCTCCTCGAATGACCTCTGCAATATCATCAAATGCTAAAAATCCTTGGAGACCTTCTGGAATGGCCCCAATGCACAACATGCAAAATCAACAAATGAAAAAGCACACTACCTTGCAAAAAAAAAAAAAATATGATGAAGCGAAGGGAATTGAATTTGTTTTGTGAAAAACTAGATTATTTGTTTATTTTGTGGAAAACATTTTTAATGACTTTTTGTTATGATGAACCACAATATATTGTGGAAGACATACTTTTGTTTTTGTTTGTTTTTTTTTTTTTTTTGGGGGGGGGGGGTGGGGTTGGATATATGCTTTTGTCATTAGTGTGCAAAATACATTATGGTATGAGAAATGAAGTTATTTTTTCTTTTGTGAACGGTTAATGTAAATTATCTCCCCTTTGTTTCAATTTGCTTTGTATACTGGAATCAGATGCCAACTCACAAGAGAAACAAGTATATGTCATAACTCATCCAGAAAGAACACATGTATACGGTATACCTAAGTCATGCTAGATGTCTATGGAATAGGATGTAATTTGGATTGAAATGGTGAATTTGACTCAACCACGTGATAGTCACATAGTTTATTTAACAGAACACTAACGGAAGTTTGGATTTGGACCTCAATTGCTAACAGGGCTTACCACAAGAGTTTAATTAATAACTTTTTCACCACAAGGATCACATTGAAAGTACTGTGTCATCACAGGGACCAAGAAAAAAATTTGGATTGTTATTTAAATGTTGATTAACGTTTTTATTTTCTATTAGTGATTCATCATTTGATTTGCAAATTTGATTTAAAAATTTGTTCTCCCGAGTATTATCTTTTAGGACCAGTGTTTGAGGTGGAGGGCATTGATATGAGTGTCCCTAGTTTTATGGTTTACACTAAAACGGAAGGTGGTGGTGATGTTACCATCTTCGTACTTTTATCTTTTTTTATACAGCTATATTAGCAAATGAGAGATTAGGCTACGAGACACAATGGATAAAAACTACTACCATAAAATTACAATTTTAGTACCAATTGGTGTGACATTGTTTTAATCGTTTTCATTTCATGTGACTTTGTTTTAGGTGAAAAGGACATTATTTTGAATAAAATTCAAGCTGTCTTGGATCCAAATTTATTTAACTATCAAACTGAGCCAATAAACTTTAATTATCCTAGTATATTTGTGAGATCTGTTTTATTACTATACTTGGGGCAGTAGAAACCCTAACCTGACTGACTCTACCAAAAATTTGATTGTTCAAATTTAATTTTCTCTGAGAAACTTCAGTTTGATAGTCAATATATACCATGAAAAGTGGATTTATTTTATTTATTTTTAATTTGTTTTTCTAGGTGAACTGTAATAATTGAAGATGGCTTGCCCTCTACTTTTTGAACAAATTTAAGAAAAAAGTCATTTTGAGATTTGTTTACAATACATATAACATATATGTATTTTATACAATCACTACATGATCGTTGTGGTAATTATGTTAAATACATTTAAGTACTACATCAGTCTTCATATTTTGAATCCAACAAGACCGCCATAGAAAGAGAAAAATCTCTATTGCACAGTTACAACGCTACCATAACGTCTCTTATTAATAGTACAATGTCATGCAGCACCATAGTAACAATTTATTACTAACACACAAGACATCACAAAACGGGTATATTCTGACCATGGAAGGACTTCTCCAAGTGAAGTGACAAGCGATCTGCTTAAATTAATTATACGCAACGTAATGGGAGAAAACTATTTATTTAGTTCGGAATGTTGTTCAATGTTGCATGCAAGGAGTTTCCATTTTTGCCAAGCAAACAAAGGGGCTTCCAAGAATCCATATTTTGCCAAGTGAAAATGGGTGGCTGTGGATTTAGGAACCGGTGGGTGGGTGAGGGGTTGTTTGATTATTAATGGTAAAATAAACTTTCCCATAGAAAGTATAAGGAAAATCGCAAGTACTGAATTATCTTGGTGGTTAGGCTATCTCCAATTTAAAGGTGAGATATCCCAAAATTTAATCTCGTATTTTTAATTATTCAGCTATATGTAATTATGTATGAGGTTAGTCAATTTTCCTTTAATGGTAAGGGACCTATAATTCTCACTCCCAAATTGATAATTTGTTAAATTTTTGTATTTCCTTGATTTTTTTTTTTGTTAACAATTTTGGAATTAAGTTTTGTATTGTCACATCCTGGGCTCGACTCCACCGTAACACGATATTGTCTGCTTTAGGCTCCGACCACACTCTCATGGTTTTGTTTCTGGAAACTCAGACGAGAACTTCCCAATGGGTCACCCATCCTAGGATTGCTTTCACGCGAACTCGCTTAACTTCGGAGTTCCGATGGAATCCGAAGCCAGTGAACTCCCAAAAGGTCTCGTGCTAGGTAGAGATGGAAATATACATATAAGGCTTACAAGATCTACTACCCCTGGGCGATGTGGGATGTTACATGTAAAAACTATCTTGTTTTATATTTACGAACATTTTAATGCAAAAAAATTCAAATTCTCAAAAAAAAAAAAAAGGTAGTGAAATATGAGAAAATTGATTTATTTTATAGGATAGTGAACAAATGGATGTGTATTTATAGAGTTTTGGTGTTAGATCTAATTTGGATTAATTAATAATATTATTTTGACTGTTGGAATTAAATTTGAGTCATTGGATCTTTTTTATTACCGTTAAAATTGATTAAATTTGATTTGAGTTGTTGAATTTAAAAAGGCATGTAGTTGTGTGAGCCGCGCTTAATCAAAACCCAAGAGGCGCTCCAGCCAATAGGTGCCAACGACGCTTCAATCTGGGTCGTAGAAAGCATTCCATTCGCGCAGACAAAAACCCACCCCCAAACCCAAAATCCCAAAATTCTCACTCTCAAAATACATTCCTTGAGAGGTAGTGGGCCAAATTTTGAGGTTTTTTATTTTATTTTTTGTCATCCTCTTGGAGACAGCCTTGAGACTTACTTCTTCAACTCATTGTGTTTCGGGTTCAAATTCTACTTCAAACTAGATCAAAATTATTAGTATTATTTTTTTTTTTTACAGTTGAGAAAAAAGGTTGACACCCCATGTTGGTCCATCATTTGAGGTGAAAGTAAACGCAATTGATGGCTAGATTTGTCCAACACATCCCTTTCATCCTCATCATGATAATTACCAATAAAAGTCTCTATTGAAGAATGTTTCATTTTCTTCTTGAATGAGCTTTGATGGACACAACTGGATGATGGTCCCGAACCCCCCTCTCTCAAGCATGAAAATGATACAAAAGGAATGAGTCGAATGACTGTTTTATTGCAATTCAAATTAGGAGACAATGAAAACCCTAAAAAGCAGAGGAAAGAGTTGGTTGTATCGAGAGAGTTTGACCTGTTTTATATGATGTGGAACTTTTGATTTGAATGTTTGGTTATGTGAGTTTTTATCAAGTGCATGATTCATGTCGGCAACGTATAGGGAGTGTTTACGTATCCGTAATTGTAATGAACACGTATAATTGAATTTCAATTACGGAATACTCTGGTGTTTATTAAACATTGAGGAATAAAAAAAGCAGTGGGGCTCACACAAATTTTGAAATTCAATTCCTTGTATTGGTGGAATTGGATTCCTTAGATATATGTGGTAATCTAATTCCTGATTGCTTGGGCAATGAGAATGACACTTTTGTTCCCTTTATGCCCTCACTTACTTTTTTTTATTTCCAAGACTATTCCTTATAAACCCATTAACCCTAGTTTAATTATGCACAACTCCATTATGCACAACTCCTTACTTTTTTTTATTTTTTATTTCCATGCTCATTCACATTATGCACAACTCCATGCATATGCCGAAGAGAAGAAACTACAACTTGAGCAAGAAAATTTAAATATTAAAGTAAATACTTAAATTTATAAAAAAATAAAATAAACAAAAGCATTTGAGTGTGTCTATGAAATAAAAAAGCAATTTAATTTTTTTCTTACCATTATATGTTATATCAAATTTTATTAAAAAAAGTATATAAAATATTTGATTTGGGACAAGGGCATTTTAGTAATCATACTGGTTTACACTTCGATTCTGCCAAATTAGTAAACAGTTTCATGGAATTAGTGTCATTTCTATTCCGATTCCAGAACATTTAAGTAAATAGCTTTAACACGAATCTGATTCTGACTTCTCCTCATTCCAACACCTCCTCCTCAATTCAATTCCTCCTATTTTCATTACGGTTATGTAAACGCGCCAATAGTGCAGTAAAACATAAAACTTTCGATTTGAATCTTTAATTTTAAGATCTTACTTAGAAATGTGTCAATTACAAATTAAGTTGAAGCTTATTAGAATTTAGGTCGATCCAATAAGCACTGTTTAAGTTGAAGTTTACTCGAAATAGAAATAGCTCAGTGGGTTTCAGTTGGAATTCACGTTGAAGTCTCGAAGATTTTGCTTGATGACTAGTAGCTATTAGGTGGATTTGGTGTGAACCATTTTTCTTTCTTCTAAAAAGATACAATGCCATTAAAACAACTTAATTAGCTGTGTAGAGTCGACGATCAAATATGTATAATTTACTAGTATGAAAGTATGAAAATACACATAACACGTGCTATCAAATTGACGTTGCGAGTCATTGCCTCGGTGGTTAGTGTTTTTTATTTTATAACTTTTCGTCTCATATCCATTGCATCTTGGATTTAAACCTTATTTCTCCTTTTATTGAAACTTACTAAAAACTTGACATTGTGCGTTTTAACTATTGAATCTTTAAATATAAAAACATTTTTGTTTTTCTTTTTTATAGCGAGATATCATCTTCAATACTAATGAATTTTGAATTTTTATTTTATTTTTAATAAACGATATTATCTATACTAAGAGAAAAGTGGGTGGGCTTAGCCTCACAATGGGCTATTAATAATGTGATTCAAATTCGCCTTTGACAAGAATCAAACCTAAGAACTCTCACTTACAAGTGAAGAGAAATACCATTAGATCGTAGTATTAAGTGGTGAAAATGTTAATTAAAAGAGTTGAAGAAGAAACTTGCTTCTATTGACCTATGGTAAAATATGAAATGTCTATCAACTTATGCCAAAATATAAAATTTGTTTTAACTAAACTAAATCTTCTAAATAAAAAGACATTGAATTACGATTTTTTACTGATAAGAGTATAGTTAAGGTGTCATAATAGGTTATTTAATTTCTATTTTTTTTTAACAGGGGATAACTGATGGCGAACCACAGTTATCTCCTACTTTCGGGTTGAGAATTGCTCCTGTCCATAATCACGACCAAGCAGATTCATAACTTACAAAATATCGAACTCAAGAACCCACTTACTATTTGATCTGCGCTCTTTGTTCCCCTTCTTGTTGTGCAAACATATATCCAACTGAGATTAAATTTGAAGTATAAACAGTTCAACCAAAAAATAAGTTGGGAAGGCCGTTATGGTCTTTGAGCAGCAAAGATGCTCCACTTATCACAGATACGAGCAAATCACTGCCTTATTTGGTAAAAAGTGCATAAGTTAATTAGCTAAAGCTAGGTTAAAGTATCAGCGGCTTTTGCATCTAGAACACATGGCAACGAGAAAACAAAACGATAATATATTCTTTGAAGTATATAGTTTACTTTTGTTCTGAGACAACCTGATTAACATATTCGGGGAAATTCTCAAATAAACTAAAGAAAAATAAATGAAGTTTATGCCTTCAAATTCAATCATGTAGTTTTCTGGGAGCTTCTGTTCTGTACCACATAAAAGAATAATCAATAATGCTATGCTATCATTTTTGTCATCAATATATTCGCAGATATAACTTAATCGGGTTCGAGTAGTGCATTCTTATTATGCACTCGAATTTTCTTTCTCGTAAGTTATATGAATTTAGCATGAACTATCTACCATTCGTCAATGAAAACAAAAATAGTAATATATATTAAGTTATGTTAACTATGGCAAATGGTCCAATGAAAATGCAGTAGAATTCCACGTCAGGTATGCTTCTTGATCTTGGGCACGAGGCACGAAACTGGCAAAAATACATGTAATTCCTTAGTTGGAAACTTTGAAAGGACGTGTGTCATTTGACTGTGGTCATGGATGAGATAAAATGTCTTTAGTATTTTCGGGCCCCATTAAAGATTAGTCATACATTTGGAATGTGGGATACGCCATGCTTCCGGGAAAAAAATAGTTATAGTATGCTAGTATAAAATTTGCAAAGGTCATACAATTTGTTTACGAAATTATTTTATTATTGTTATTTTTTGGGTAAATTACATTTTACCACCTCAGGTTTGTGGTTGATTTCAATTCCTTACAACATCTTTAAAATATTTCACTTTTATACTTCAAGTACTATTTTATTTCAATATAGTACCTCCGTTACATTTTTCATCCATTGATCCGTTAAAAGCTGATATGGCTGCCAAATTTGTACCACGTGGCAACAAAATTTTTTTTATTCATTTAAAAATAATTAATTAAAGAAAAGTTATTTAAAAAAAAAAAAAACATAAATCGTCATCCCTGACCCACCCTCTTCTCCCATCCATCATCACCCACCCCCTTTTCCCATCCCCATCACCCCTCCCAAAAATCCCCCATCACCCACCGCCAAAAATCCCACCCGAGCCCACCCCTTTCGTCGTTGGGACCTAGACCTGACCAGCCGGAGTTCGAACTTGATCAGGTCGCTGGTCAAGCCCTAGCCAAAAATGGAGCTCAGCGACATCAAGAAGCGCTAGAGCCGGCTTGCACCAGGGCCAAAGTTCCCGGTCGCTGAGGGAGACCACTTGGGCAAGCTGGTTGCTGCTTGGGCGAGACCACTCGGGAGGGAGAAGAGGGGTGAGGGGGGGGGGAAGATGGGTTGGAGCAACACCATAGGCCTTGCATCGCCGGGTAAGCCAGAGGAGTTGCGTGGTGGTGAATTGAAGGAGAAACGGAGAGAGGTGAAGAGGGAGGAGAGGGATAGGGTGGGTGGTTGCGAGGGAGGGAGGTGGGTCGGGGGGAAGATGGGTTATGGGTTGGTTTTATTTATTTATTTATTTAATTTTTTTAATTAATTATTTTTAAATGAATAAAAAAATTTTTTTTTTGCCACGTGCCGCAAATTTGGTAATCACATGGCACAAATGTGGCAGCCACGTCAGCTCTTAATGGATCAATGGATGGAAAATGTAATGGAAGTACTATATTGAAATAAAATAGTATTTGAGGTATGAAAGTGAAATGTTTTAAAGATGTTGTAAGGAATTGAAATCGACCCCAAACCTGAGGTGGTAAAGTGTAACTTACCCTTATTTTTTTATATGAGATTGCCAAAGATGGTTGACAATAATCAAGATAATCATACATGATTTAGCGGAATTCTTGTTTTATTAATCGATTATTTTAAGGTAAAGTTAATGGGAAACCTCATCATTGTTATTATTGTTTCAAGCATATTTGTACCCAATACAATGTATTTATTTTTCTTCAAGATATTGTAGTAGCTACATTATCTGTCCATATATTTTACTATCGAGCACCAAATCTTTCTTTTCAATTGACTTAGGTGCTAGGATTCTCAATCATGCGGATGAAATCAACCCAAAAAAAATCATGTTGATGGAATCTTACGATATGTGTTTCTTTTTGTGGTGAACTCAAACCGATCTTGACCGAGCGACATTGGTTGGCTCTCGCTTTTTTTTCTTTACCTTAATAAAAGCTCTTTTTTGTTGCATTTGAGAAAACGAACTCCGAACCTATTCTAATTCTAATCTTAATTTATTATTTTCACTTGGCTCATCAATGGAGCACGAATAACCCCATACATAGAGAAGCCTTCACACACTAATTCACTAACACAATACAGTTCTACATGTTACGCTTCAGTGCAAGCCGAAAAGATTCAACTAGTTAGGATATCCATTTTATAGAAACAAACTACTAGATTCTCCACAATGATGATATATATTGAAGAAAGGGGTCAAGTAAAAGAATAATACTTGCATTTTTTTCTTGGTGGGATAAGCTTATTCTTACTTGCAAATAATGTACTTTCATCACAGAAATTTTATAATTAGAACCATTCAATTTTTTAATTTTCATTCAAAAAAAGGGTTCATCGTTAATATGCTACTTGGTACCTATATCATTGATCTATTTGAGTAAAAAAAACCTTCTTCTTCTCACCTTGGATTTATAGCCTTTTTCTTACCTACATTGATGATAGTGAGAGGTTTCCAAGAGCTAGCCATATATAATTCTTTCTTTGCTGCTTTTTGGTATCAAACTAGGCAAAAACCCACTTCAGGATTCCTTCGCACTATAGGGTTCCTTTCCCTTCAACCCCTCTCTCTCTTTCTCTCACTAGTCACTACCCTAAAAGGAGGAGGAGCATTCCAAAAGTTTATTTTATATAGTGCTTTATAGGCTTTATATACAACTAAACTGGAAGACCTAAAAAAGGGCCTCCAGCTAGGAAACCCTAGTTTCCGCGAGCACGCATGCTTTTTGTTAGAATATGCAATTGCGTGAAGGGTTCTATTACTATATCACGATTCACGATGTGCATGAGTGGGAGCTGCATGCGACGTGGTGCCAAATAAGTGGTTGAAACCTTTCAGTGGTTCATTAGCCCAAAACCTCCAAAGGGGGTGGGAAACAAAAAAAAAATCTAAAATTTAGGCCCAAAACCTCTTCAAACGGTGTATTTTGGGTGTCAGGAAAAATATGATTTTGGGGTTGGAGGTGGGAATTTGGGATTGCTTTCCACTTTTGAAGTGGGCCGAGGGCCCAATATTTCTCCTCCAGTAGGTGAAACAAGCCCACGGCGGCCCCACGATATAGATCCATCAAAGCAGATAGAGTGTCTCCGCACAGGCGTACCGACCTTGTCCTCTCTACGGTCCAGATTACAGAGTCGTTGCCATCTAATGGCTGGCGCGCGCGCACTGGGTTTTGATCCAATGTAGTGCGCCCTACTGCATCAGTTTAATCAATTTTATACCCAGCGGCTGAAATCTAATTTAATCAATTTTAACGGTAAAAATAGATTCAATGGCTCAAATTTTAATCTAACGGTCAAAATAATATTATTAATTAACCCAAAATAGAACCAACACCAAAACTCTACAAATACCCATCCATTTATTTGAAATTTGAATTTCTTTTATGTCAAGTTTTTTTTTCTTCGAGAATTTGAATACTTTTACATCAAAATGTTCATAAAAATAAAACAAAATAGATAATACAAAAACTAATTCCAAAATTATTTGCAAAAAGAATCTACGAAATACAAAAGTTTAACCAATTATAAAGGTGGGGTGAGAATTATAGGTTCTTTACCATTGTTGGAAAAAAAAAATCTAACTCAACTCATATGTATAGATGAATAATTGAAAATACAGGGCTAATTTTTGAAATTTATACCCTTAAGTTAGAAATAGCCTAAAGATAAACATTTCTGTTTGTTCACAAATTTTCACCTCACAAACAAAAAAAGTCAAAAATGTGCTCGGTGGGTTGACGTTTAAAGCCACGGATAACAACTTTGGAAAAAAGATGTCTACTTTTATTCATCAAACAAGAAACGACTTTATGATATTTTTCTTATCTTGTGTATAAAATAAGATAGAAGAGAGAGACTAGAACCCACAATCGCCTGATTAGAAGTCAGACGCCTTATCCATTAGGCCAGTGGCGCTAATTGTTAGTTTTCTGTCTGTTTGTGGTTCAGTATGGATTGAAGGGACCCTAAAACAAACCAAATGCTTTTATTTATTTATATTTTATTTTTTTAGTACAACATATTTTTCTGTCTGTTTGTGGTTCAGTATGGATTGAAGGGGCCCTAAAACAAACCAAATGCTTTTATTTATTTATATTTTATTTTTTTAGTACAAGGATATTTTTACACTAATGAAAAAAAGGGGGGTGGTTCGGCAAAGCCATGCAATTGGCATTGAATTCGACATTCACGAGATTCGAACCTAAGATCTCTCACTTCCAAGTGAAGAGGAATAACACTAGACTGTTATAAAACAAACCAATGTTGTTTTACAGCAATTTATTCAAAGTAGTAGTACTCAGTTTAGATTTGAACGATCATATATCAATTCACGAATGTTATTTCACTCTGATAGATCCACGAGAGATTATCTATGTGGAGCCTAAAATAATCCCAAAAATTCTAGAGGCGACAAGTGAATTTTTATTCAAGAAAGACAAGATTGCACTCAAATAAATGGGCAGGCTTCTCAGATGCTCCCACGCGCAACTCACACCCCTGAAGGTCTCAGTAGCTGAATACGACTACCCACAGCTCACTTGCCCTTGGCAAGGAATTAAAGATAAGGATTAATTACCCAAATCATATCTTTAATACATTCCTAATTGAAGATTGGCTCCAATCAAGTAAGTAATCCCAATTTAAATAAATTAGGGATAATCTCAAGATATTATTTCCTATTTAATATCTTGAGAATATTTTGAGAATATTTCTCCATAAACACCTTGACCAATAGGATGCCGCCACATGTAGGGTAAAGCCCTAACATTGTGGCTGGCCCTATCCCTATAAATACCCCATATTCTACCAAATTTTCAGAGTTTTTACTACCCCTAAAAAAGCCCTAAACACTTTACTCTCTCAGAGAAACTGACTTAGGCATCGGAGATCCATTGGCCTAAGCCCCTACCTCATGGCCGCATGAGGCTTAGGTCTTTGATCAAAGGTGTTGATTGTTTTGCAGGTGCATTTTCGTTAAGACTAAAGATGGCGGAAATTTGCATCGACAAATTGGTGCTTTCATTGAGAGCTGATTCAAATACTCGAAGAAGCCTCTTGCATTTGTTTCTTGAATTTTCTGTTACGTTGAATTTCTCACACGTTGTATCAATTAACCTTTCTTAGAAAAGTTTCTTGATCAATCTCTGGAGAAATGATACAATGGTAGGAAATTTAGAAACTACGACGAACGGAACCCCGTATGTACAATGATTTGGACTGGAGAGTAGAGATGAGGACATAACCCCACGACGATGATCCTTAAGGTTTAACGCGACGACAGGAGGAGCCCCACAGCCGCGGAGCCGCACCACCACCATTGCCGTGACCCAGCAGCCACGGTAAGGTCACTAGGCCATGACACCACTTCCATCGTCGTTGCCCTTGCAGCGCCGCATCTAACCAAACCCTAGGCAGGAGGCCCAGGTCCACATCCAAACCCATGGGTAGGAAACCCAAAACTTGGCAGCTGCCACAGTAGGTCGAGAGCATGAGGCCCAAACCCAAGCCCAGAACACAGCAGCTGCTGCCAGCTAGGTTCAACGAAGCCCATGCCACCTAACCAGCAGGCGGCTAGGAGGGCCTAAGACAAGCATGCGCCGGTCCAACGTGCCCTGCGACTCGCTCTGGCAATCCGGCCCTCGGCCCAATCTAATCTAAGCCCACCTCCGGTGATCTAGATTTCGACCACTAGTCCCGCGATATATTCAGGGTTATTTTTACCTCAATTTTTTGCAGGAATGCCCACTTTGGGCTCAAGTTTTGTACCTGCAGTCTACTACACTTTCACCACACATGGAGATGCCCATTTCCAGGCTCTTCCAATCCAAATGGCAAGCACCACTTGCCCTAGTAGGTTGCCAATTTAACAAGCACCCTTGCACAACAGACCACCTTGGTGAACCAGTTCCTTGAGTGTATTGAGATGTAGCGCGCCCCAGATGAGGTGTCTCAAAGCAGGGCAATGGCGGAAGAACATGACTTATTCTAATGACGTCCCAACAAAGAGCCGCTCAGCTTACCATGAACTGTGCGTTCGGGTAGTGTGCACTTTCGTTTGGGCCCTCGGCGAAACGTCTTCTCCCTCCTAGATGTGCAGAGAAGCATTCATTCCGACTTGGCTCATAAGTCAGTGTACATTCGAGGTTGGGTCCATACTCCGATGAGCACTCAAGACATTCCAAGGGAAGCGTCCACACAAGGCTAGGCCCACAAAGAGATCTTCATACGAGGCACTGAAATAGGTAGCCGCATGATGAACAGAGAAGAGCACGAGAGCAGTCCAGCTCAAGTTCTACTGGTAGCCCCCACCAAGCGCGACAACAAGCAGCATAGAGCGAACCACGTGCACTGCAACTACGGCACAGACAAGTAAGACATACTGAAGAGAAATGTGGACCAGCATGTCAACACCGGGGGCAGCTGGAGGCTTCGTTGCCCCACCAGGCACAAATCCAGGAGGAAGTACAAAGGCTCATAGCGGACCAGTTGCACGGATTCCAATACATTGATACTACCGACGATGCCCTTCGTAAAAACGTGGCCAACCTTAATAGGTCACCTTTTATAGACAAGGTCGAGCAGACAGAACCACCGCGGAAGTTTAGCCCGCTGCATTTCACCTTGTTTAAAAGAGATGAAGATCTGAACAGGCACCTGATGCATTACCGGAGAGCCATGACCCTCTACGCCAATAATGATGCCCTTATGTGCAAGATCTTTACCACGACACTCCAAGGCGAAGCGCAAGACTGGTTCCACAACCTATTGCCACGCTCGATCTGGAACTTCAGTGAACTTTCCTTGGTTTTCACCAAGGAATATTCGTTATACCAATCGATTAAGAAAAAGTCTGACCACCTTTTCAACATGAAAAAGGACCTGAAGGAGTCGCTCCGCACATACGTCAAGAGGTTCAAGGCGGAGAAGGCGAAAATAGTTAGATGTGATGACAGCATCGCATGCTCAGCTTTCCGAAAAAGGCTTCTAGCAAATCACCCACTTTTCAAAGAATTAATCATGGGGGAGAACCTAACCTTGGCGAACTCTTATGCTTTGGCATAAAAGCACTCCCTTTGGGATAAGGAAAAGTGCTCCCAGAAGCCGCATGAGCAGCAGCGTAAAGACGCATAATCAACTTAGAAGAAGGCGAGCGATAAACCGCTCAATAACAAAAACAAGCCAAGAAGCAGACGCAGGGACCGATCCCCGACGAAGGGAGGCACGGTACCTAAGACGTACACCAAGTTCTCAGTCCCGATCAACCAGATCCTTTGCGACCTCAAGGACAAGTTGTGGTTCAAGTTGCCACCATCCATGAAGCGGAACACCTCCAAGATGGACCAGACGAAGTATTGCGTATTCCACAGAGGCCCCAGGCACACAACCAACGACTGCACCATATGGAAAATGTACCTTGAGCAGGTCGTGAATGAAGGCAAACGCGATTAGTATGTCGACAGACCAGCTGCCCTGCCAAGGTGAAAGTAGATGCCGAGGCCGAACCCCCAACCAAGACAATCTGAATCAACAGAATTTTTGTCGAATCCGAGCATCTAGAGGCTACTAACAACTCCAAGAAGAGGAAGATCTAGCAGGTGGGATCAATCTATCAGGTTCAAGCCACATATGTTGTATTTGAACCAATCGTCGGCTTCATCGAGCAGGATGCTGAGGGAATAGACTTTCCCCACGATGATGCATTGGTGATTTCTGTCCAACTAGCCCATGCTATCGTTGATAGAATTATGGTAGACAACGGCAGCCTAATTAACATCCTACAACTGTTAGTCATCCAGAAAATAGGCTTGGAAAGCACGATCCAACGCAAAGTAGAGGTCTTGACTGGATTCAACGGACTCACCTCAATTGCCATTGGCACTATCACACTCGACGTAACTAGCCCACCGATCATTTCATCTCAGACTTTCATGATCGTCAGCGACCTATTTTTCCATAATGGGATTTGGGTTGACCTTGGCTAATGAAGATTGGAGCTGTGACCTTGATTGAGTACCAAAAAATCCTATCTTGTATCTCGGAAGGAACAGTTGAAGAGATTAAAGGCGACTAGGCCATGTTTTGGAGATGCATTGTACAAGTTCTTAAGGAGTCGAAGAAGAAGTCTTTCACCCAAGTAGTAGCAGCTGAAGTCAACAATGCCTTGGAAGATGAATCAGGATGGAAACTCGAGGATGACGCCGAAGACACCATTGTTAACCCTTACCAGTCAGAAAAGACGGCTAGAATTGGCCCACGACTGAGCCTGATAGAGAAGCAGGAACTCATGGTTTTCCTTAGGGTACCTTGTAACCCAACGAAGTGCACTTTTGGCGTTTCATTAGGTCAATTCTTAGGGTACCTTGTAACCCAACGAGGAATCGAGGCTTATCCAAGACAAATCAGAGTGATCTTAGACATGAAATCGCCCATAACTTTGAAGGAGATCCAAAGTTTGATCGGACGAGAAGCCGCACTTAATCGTTTCCTCTTGCGATCCACCGACCGATGCAAGCCTTTCTTCAAGGCAATCAAAAAGGTGCAGAAGGACAAATGGGACGACGAGTGCAAGAAAACATTTCAAGACCTGAAGCAGTACCTAACATCACCTCCACTACTATCCAAGCCGGAAGTAACGGAGAACCTGTACATCTATATGGCGGTATCAGAAGTAGCAGTAAGCTCTGCCCTCATATGAGAAAAGCTGGGGGCCCAACTGCCTGTATTCTATACATCCAAAACTCTTATCGATGCGGAAACCAGATACTCAAAGATTGAAAAGCTAATTTTGGCGCTAGTTGTTGCAGCTTGGAAGCTCAGACCCTACTTTCAAGGGCATCCAATCATCGTTATGACCCAGTACCCACTGCGATCAATTTTGCATAGTCTAGACGTTTTTTAACGAGTGATGAAGTGGACGTTGGAACTCAGCCAATACGGCCAAACATACTAACCCCGCATGGCAATAAAAGCCTAGGCATTGGCGAACTTCGTAACGGAATTCATCCTAAGCTTGAAGAATGCATTAACTTAGCCTGAAGATGCCTCGGAAGCAGCCGGGCATGCCGTAGCTGCACCAACCCCTCCTACATGAGATTTTTGGCGTTTGCACGTCGATGGATCGTCCAACTACTAAGGATCGGGGGCAAGCCTAGTTAGTACTACTTCAGATATTTTGATGCTCGAGCAGGCGATCACTCTGAGCCTCAAGACGTCAAACAATGAAATAGAGTATGAATCCCACTAGCAGGTATTCGATTGGCAAAACACCTAGCGGTGAAGAAGCTCGCGATATATTTCGATTCTTAGCTGATCGCCAACCAAACCTCGGGATAGTATGCAGCGAAGCATCTAAGGATAGCCCGATACCTCTAGAAGGTACGAGATCAGCTAGCGACATTCCAGGTGTACATATTCACTCACGTTCCATGAGCAGAAAACGCCCACGCAGACGCACTAGCAAGCCTAGACTTCGCACTAGACCATCAGCTTAGGCGCTCCATCCCAGTCGAGTATTTGGAAAAGCCAATCATAGATGAGGAACCAGTAGTCGAGATGGCGCAGATCATCATAACCCCGAGTTGGCAATATCCCATCATTGATTACATAGTCAATGGAACGCTCCTCGCAGATAGACTGGAGTCCAGGAAGCTCTAGATGAAGGCAGCACGCTATTATTTGTGGAACGACATGCTTGTTCAAAGATCATTTTCAGGACCATATCTCCGCTGCCTATCGTTTCCTGATGACTTGAAGGTTCTTAGCTCAATCCAAGGAGATGTATGTGGAAACCACTCTGGAGGCCGCTCCTTAGTGCAAAAAACTCTTAATGCTAGATATTACTTGCCAACCATGCATTAAGATGCTAAAGAGTATGTACAAATGTGCGACAGCTGCCAATGCTTTAAGCCTATGCCCGCACCACCTGCCAGCAAACTCTACCCGCAGACGAGCCCTTAGCCATTCATGTAGTAGGCAATTGACCTGGTAGGACCAATGCCGCCTGTTACTGGGGGCAGAGGCATGATGATCGTGGAGACCGATTACTTCACAAAATGGGACGAAGCCGAACCCATGACTACAACTACCCAGACGGACATATAGCGTTTCATATGAAAGAACATCATCTGCCGCTTCGGCATCCCACACTCCATCGCTACCAATAATGGTCCGCATTTCGTAGGTAAAGACTTAGTGAAGTTCTTCAAAAAATATGGCATTAAGCATCACATGTCCACGCCCTAGTACCTGCAGGGCAATGGGCAGACCGAGGCGTCCAACAAGATAATCTTCGACTGCCTTAAGAAGACCCTCTCAGACAATAAGAGCAAGTGGCCAAACGAGCTCCCCGGTGCTCTATGGGCATATTGCACCACCAAAAGATAAGCAACCGGTGAAACTCAATTCTTCTTGATGTATGGTTCTGAGGCGATCATTCCTTCCAACGTCATGGTGCCAAGCATTAGCACTATACTGTCGAATTTCAAGCAGAATGAAAAAGAGATAACCATAAACTTAGACTTGGCAGAGGAAGAGTGCGAGAAGGTTATCACTCGCATTGCGGCCTATCAGCAACAACTTCACTTCAGCTACAACAAGAGGGCAAAAATCTTGCAGTTCCAGCTAGAAGACTTAATCCTCAGAAAGACCTTCATCATTGCCCGATGGGAAGGCTTCAGAAAGATGGCTCATATCTGGGAAGGTCCGTGCAAAATCAGTCGAGTAGGCGGAAGGGGCAGCTACACCCTTACTACCATGAGCGACAAAGAAATCAACAAGTAGTGGAATGTCTACAACTTGAGGAAGTACTACGTGTGACTTTCCACCATTCCTTGGACCCTGTTCAAGATGAAACAAGTTCGAATACTTAAGCAGCTTGATAAACAAAACCTTGCATGCCGAGGATTATCATTTGTTATACCATTACTGCCTACGAGCAAAGTTAATAAAATCCTCTATTCGCAATGAAGATTGAAAGAATTATTCACAAGCCTGGGCTGAATCCATAAACAAACTGACCAACCATGTGACAAGTAGAAGACGCCCTCTACCCTGCAAATATGGCGTGAACTCTCTAGCACAAGAAGGTAAACTAATTCCTCCGACACTTATCTGGGTAACTCTCCAGCATAAGAGGGTAAACTAATTCCTTGACTACTCTTGTGACAAGTAGAAGACGCATTCTACCCTGCAGACATGGCATGTGCTCTCCAACAAGGAGAGTGTAAACTAATATGAAATATCCAGACGTGGATGGGTGGTACAACTGCTTAGTTTCCCCTAAATGCAATGACTACCTGAGCCGGACGACTCCCAGAATTAGCCAAGATAGTCCTTCCCTTAGAATGGACTTAGCCGACTGAAGGATTCAATTTCATGGGATCCCGGGTCTCTAACCGGAAGAGATGCTAAGTGTAGGACACCTGCCCATGGAAGAGTTGGCGTGACAAGATGGTCCGTCCTCGACGTGTAAGTCTTCATGAAAGTGGCTTGGTTTTAAAGTGTTATAATACTAGTTAAGCGACCTGCGGAATCAAGTTACAACTAAGAAAGATGTGGCATCTGAGGCGCGATTCCGCCTACACTTCACGGCTAAAACACCTCCGAGAGCCAGGGTCGACACCTAAAATGGTTACGCGGGTTGTCTGCTTCTGTAAGTAAAACGCCCATCTGATGACCTAACGGCTGGCAGCCCAAGGCAATCTGTAAACCGAGACATACACCTTATATGACTATGCGGACTCGTTTGCTTACTTAAAAGCAGCGATTTCGGCAGATGGTCTACGGTTTAAGTTTTGCTGGGATAAAGCCAAGGTACGACTATATCAACTACGCGGACCTCTTCTGTTTTCTACGAGAAGCATGAGTCCGACCGATGGCTCTATAAGTTAAAAACCTCGTAACATGCCCTATCGACTTTTCTAAGGTATCTGATTCATGTTTGCTTGTTGCCCTTAAGAAATTTTATTCAATTTTGCTGGGTTTGTCATCTGTTTGTGTTGAGAGAGAGACAAAGACAGAGACAAAGATTTTAGCTTATTTATACTATTTTTGTGGTTTGATCT